TTAGAAGTCACTCATATAATTTCACTTCACCCATAGAAATAATATCTCTTCACTCAATATAGGACAAAGGTAGTGTCTCCTTGGTAAGAAAGGTGACAGATCTACCACAGATTAATATTTTCACTCAGATAGCAAAGCAAAGTTGCCATTACTAGGGGTGGGGATAAATGCAGATGGAGTCTACAGGATATGAAATTCCAGAACAAGGTTTGATGTGCTGTAAGAAGGGGCAGAGGTGTTGCAGGCATGCAAAGTTCTGAAGAGATTTGGGGATAGTCTGGGAAATAAAAGAGAATTAGGAGGAAAGGAGTCTAGGTGATTTACACATGGCATAGATGACCATCAGTGGGCCCTACAACGGGGAAGATTATAGCTATATATAAGAAAGGACAGTCACTGACAAAGAAATCTAACAAGTAACAAACCTGAATTCCAAAACAGCTGGAGTCACATAATACACAAATAATTCAAAACAGATCAGCAGTGTATGTGAAGGTACTCATGGGATTAAGGAAAGACATAACAGAAAAAGTAGCCCTTATCATTGTGTTTGAGGCTGAATACAGGAGCTTGAAGAGGAAGGGAGAAGGAATAACACTAAGGGGGTTTGAAACCACCACCGGAAATCATATTATTTTGTTTAGATAAAATTATGTGATATATGTATTTTTAGCCAGTAATCAAGTGTTGTACAGAACCACTGACAAGAAGAAAAGGCAAGTCTTAAGTTGGTGAGATGGTTCAGTGGGTAAAGGCCAGTACCAAGCAACACCTAAGTTTGATCCCTGGGACTCAAATGGTGGAGAGAACCAACTCCAAGTTGCCATCACCTCCACTCTCTCCAGAAACACAACAAAATAAGTTTAAAATGTGATTTAAAAAATAAAAAACAAGCTTTTTAAACAAACCCTTGGACAAAGTGTGGAATACTCCAAAAAGAAAAAGCCAAAGAACAAAACACCTCTGAGGCCTAGAGAATGTACACATAAACACACATAGACCCAACATTGCTGACTCACATCAAAGCGATCCTAAAATAAGTGTTGAGCAACCTAATCTTTTGGGTTACTTTTAGCCTCAAGCATCCACAATCAAATTATCTCAAAAGCAAATATTGGAAAGATATTTTTTTAAATAAATAAATTTTTAATTATGTATACAGCATGTATGACTGCAAACCAGAAGAGGGCACCAGATCTCATTACAGATGGTTGTGAGCCACCATGTGGTTTCAGGGAATTGAACTCAGGACCTCTGGAAGAGCAGTCAGTGCTCTTAACCTCTGAGCCATCTCTCCAGCCCTGGAAAGATATTCTTGTATAACCTAAAATACTAGCCATTTTCTCTCTAGTGAGAAGTCAGCATTTTAGACTTTATTCCTTGAAGTTGTTACCATTTAAGTGGTTGGGACATGTGTGTGTGTGTGTGTGTGTGTGTGTGTGTGTAATAGCATTTGGCATTTAAATGAAAATGTTAGGGATCTCTTGACCAGTACTTCTACATATTTCCCAAATATTACCGTCTGTGATAGAAAACACAGAGTTCATCATTAAACGCATTGACACCACTAAGCTCATCATTAAATAACTGCCGGTTTAAAGTGTTACTAGATAACTAAAGGGGCACCTAACTAGGGAAAGGACTTACATCTCAAAAAGTAAGTGCTGTTTGTTCTACATGACAATTTCACATGGACTGTTTTCATTTCCTTACTTTCCCTTATGAGTTGGTTATGTAGAAACAGAAAGCATAGATCATAAAGACCAAAAATATACCCTTGCATAGGTAATGGGATTATGAATGCAATTTAAGGACTTGGAGGAATAAGTAAAAAGTAGCATAATAATGAAGGGATGGTTTAAAGTCACATACAAACACCTGATGGATTTACCCATCACCTTTTAAGAAATAAAGGAAAAGCAAGCTCATTTTCTTCTGTTGTTTTTCCAAAATGGGTGTAAACATAAGACCACTTTAGGATTGTGTTATCCTGCACAATGAAGAAAAGGTGCAAGGAGTGTCTGAATGTTAGTAAAGCTGTACCCAGGATGGGTCTTCATATACAGGAACAATTTTTGTAATAATTTTTCTTTTTACTGGTAGCTTTATAGAAGTATGCAAAAGGTCTGGCTGGCTAACCAGGTCATGTCTTTGCAATCATTTAATTCATACATTCAATCAACAGATATGAATTACAGAGTGGTCATTGGGATTAAAAAAAAGTGAGACTATCCCTACTCTAGTATAGCTCAGTGAGGAACTAAAAGCAAAAACTGAATACACAAATACAAATGACCTGGAAGAACTATGGTACACATTATGAGAAACACAATATAAATATATATTGGTCCCAAATTATTATATTGGAAGCTCTCAGTGGGAGCTCGTAAAAGATGCAAGCATTTTGGAAACAACTTCTGAAATGCAGTTAGGTAATAGGCTGGCTTCCATTACCCAAGTGTACACCATCTAGTTACAAACTAGAATCCCTTTGGACAATCTTATCTTGAAACACTTCCTGCTACATCTATCTCTAGGCAAGTCTAGTTTATATGGGAACCTTTGCTCCATCTCCCAATCTTCCAAGGTCCCTCAAAACAAATCTTACTACGGTGATCTTTGGAATCACCAAGAAAGGTCAAATACACAATGAAGCACAGTGATGGGACCTGAGAGAATAACTAACAATTATTTTAGAGTTAATATTACAACTATTTGAAATATCTGCACTTGGCTAACTGGATTTCATACAGTATGTATCAGGTTATCTAATAGTTATAATGAGAGTTGTAATTGGAAAATAGAGCTAGTGGTATGGAGATGGTAAGAAGTAGGATGAAAATAAGATTCTAAGACAGTCTGATCATTGTATGATTACAAAAAATATATTCATATTTTGATGTAGATCCCTCAGGCAGAGCTACAAACAAAAGCAAGTTCCTAACCTTAAGAAGCCTGATCTAGTAAGGTTAACATAGATAAAGTCAAGCAAACCAATAAACCATTTTTTTCTCATTTTCCTTTACTGTGAGTTCTTTGTGTAATTCTCAAATGATAGTTCTTCCATGGGCTTTATCTTTAGTCTTCTCTCCTCCCTCCATAATTGTTTCCTGATCATAATACTCCAGGGAAACAGTCCAAACTGTGCATTTATACACTATTATAAACACTCTAGGCTTTGCATATACGTCTAGTCCAATAAGATCCTCTCTGTGTATGACACCTTAATTGAGCAAAGCAGCTCTGAATTAAACTGAAGCATCCAGCAACCTGGAAAACAGCAAACATCCAATAGTTTTGTTAATGAAAAAAATGTTAATGAAACACTTGAACTTCTGTTAGACTATGATAACAGCAACTTTTAAAATGTTTAACATATAGATCTTTCTTCATCATAGATATTATCCCACATTTCTTAAACCCTTTGCATAGATCTGATGATACAGATTTTATGTATCTATAATGCTGGTGGGGTAAAAAAGGTTTTTTGTTTTGTTTTTATTTAAACGTGGTCTCTATTTTTTCTGGTGAGGAAACATCAAGCTTTGAGACTTTTAGGGTCATATTCAGGAAACAAAATGTTTATTTTGTGGGCACCAAATATCCCATTGTACTTAAATATTAAAATGTCTAATTCTTTTTTTTTATTTTTTTTAATTTATTTTGCAATACAATTCAGTTCTACATATCAGCCACGGATTCCCTTGTTCTCCCCCCCTCCCGTCCCCCTCACCTTCCCCCAACCCCCCCCCCCCCCCATTCCCATCTCCTCCAGGGCAAAGCCTTCCCCACAGACTGAGGTCAACCTGGTAGACTCAGTTCAGGTAGGTCTAGTCCCCTCCTCCCAGGCCGAGCCAAACAATCCTGCATAGGCCCCAGGTTTCAAACAGCCAACTCATGCAATGAGCACAAGATCTGGTCCCACTGCCTGGGTGCCTCCCAAACAGATCAAGCCAATCAACTGTCTCACCCATTCGGAGGGCCTGATCCAGTGGGGACCCCTCAGCCATTGGTTCATAGTTCATGTGTTTCCATTCATTTGGCTATTTGTCCCTGTGCTTTATCCAACCTTGGTCTCAACAATTCTCGCTCATATAAACCCTCCTCATTCTCGCTAATTGGACTCCCAGAGATCCACCCAGGGCCTAGTCATGGATCTCTGCATCCAGATCCCTCAGTAGTTGGATGAGGTTTCTAGCACAACATTCTTAACTGAAGATTTTAAGTCTTTCTGCTCAGGTCTTCCTATGGATGTAAAGCCTGAATGTAGGGCCTATAGCAACTTGACACCCCCACAAACCGCCACACCCACATACACATTCCTTCCATCATCCTTTAAGCTTAACAGCTACTTAGGGCACTTCTGTACTAGGGGGAATCATAGAAAAGATATTGTCTTAGTTATCAAGTTGTTAGGATTATGAGAAGTTGTGGTGGGGAGTGGGGTATTAATAACTTTCTTTCAAAAATTTACCTTCTTGGCAATCCCACCTGAGATTGTTTGGCTTGCCCATTAGCTTCCAATGCTTCCTACTGTGAATGCATCTATGTTGGGTAGCACTCAGCTTCTAGATGTGTGTCTTAATAAGAGAGGTCATTTGTGCAAGGTAATTCTTAAGACAGCTGATGGCTTATCTCCTCTAACAACTACACACAGCTCGTGAGAAACACCCATCTTGACCAAAGATGGATGTTAACTGCCCTTTATTCAGCTGCCAAAGGACACTCCAGTCATGTCTTACCTTGGAATCACTGCAAGAGTCAATCACCATTCCTGTGTCACCCAGTATCTAAAGATCACAGATTAAGTCTAAAAGTATGTCATTTCAAACACACCTCACTGGGTTTAAGAATAGCTGGAAAGCTTCTGGCATATTTTGAGACCAGTATTACCCTGATAGCAAAACCAAAGATAAGAGAAAAAAAAAAAACAAACTACAGACCAATATCATTTATGAATATAGATGCAAATATGCTAAACAAAATACTAGCAAACCAAATCCAGCAGCATAGAAAATGGTTTATGTAGCATAGACAAGTGGGGTTATTCCAGGAATGCAAGATTTGTTCAATATACAAAAATCCATCAATGTAATACAACATATCAATAGAATAAAGACAAAAACTACATGACAACCTTAATAGATACAGAAGCATTTGACAAAATTCAATACTCTTTTTTTTTTTTTGATAAAAAACACTCAATAAAGTAGGAATAGATGGAAATTTCCTCAACTTTGCAGCATCTATGAAAAACCCACAGCTAACATCTTATTTAATGGTGAAAGAACTAATAATTTCCCCCTAATACCAGGAACAAGAAAAAGATGCCTACTCTTGCCACTTCTATTTAATATTATACTGGACGTGCTAGCCAGGGCACTTAGGCAGATAAAATAAAGAATCTAGATTGGAAAGGAAGCCAAATTATTTCTATTAACAGATGCACAATCTGGCAAACAGAATCAGCTCAGAATACCTATAGTATACAAGGTCAATACACAAAATTCAATTCTTTCTAGATGCTTGCAATGAATAACTCAAAAATTTAAAAAAAATTGTAATAGCATCAAGAAAAATACCTTCAAAAAACATTTAACCCCAAAAAATCAAGATGTATACACTAAAATCTATAAAACAGCATTAAAAGAAATTACAGACCTAAATAAATGGAAAGACACTCCATGTTTATGGATTAGAAAATTTAATACTGTTAAAATACCAACATACTTCAATCTGATGTATCGAATCAACACAAAAACTATCAAAATCTCAGGTGCTTTTTACGCAGAAATTAACAAATTGATCCTAAAATCCATGTGGAATGCAAGGGACCCAGAACAGATAAAATGATCCTGCAGTAGAACAAAGTTGGTGAACTCACACATTCTAAACTCAAAACTTACTACAGAGGTACAATTAAGACAATGTGGTACTGGCATAAGAACAGACACATAGGACAATGGATTAAAGTCCAAGAGTCCATTTTTACGGTCACTTGTATGTATGTGTGTGTGTGTGTGTGTGTGTGTGTGTGTGTGTGTGTGTTGGGGGGGGTGTTTTGTTTTTGACAAGGATGCCAAGCTCACTCATAAAGAAATAATTATTAGTCTATGTAACAATTAGTTATTTGTTCTACTGGATACTCACATATTAAAGAATGAAACTGGATCCCTAAAATGCACCACATGCAAAAATGGATCAAAGACCTAAATTTAAGAACTAAAACCATAAGATGCTTACAAGACATAAGAGAAATGAAAATTTAATGTGTACACAAAGTATTCATAGTTGTATTCATAATATGCAAAAAGCAGAAACAACACAACTATCCACAACCAAATAGACAAGCAAAAAAATACATTATATCAATACAATGACAATATTCGGCCACAAAAGAAACAGTACCGATACATGCTACCACAAGGATGTACTTTGAACTCATTACTTTGGGGATGGTGGGGGAACAGACAAAAAAGGCCACATATCATATGACTCCATTAACATGAAATGTCCAAAATAGGCAAATTCATAGGCATATGTAGATGAGTAGTTGTCAGGGTCTGGGGGTTAAGAACAGGCAGTCACAACTAATGGATACAGAAAACTTTTTACAGTGATGAAAATGCTCTGGAATTATATATAATGACAACTTCACAACTCTGTGAATATACTATGACCACAAATTTTACACTTTTTAAAAGGGTGAATTTTATACTATCTCAAACAAAGATGAGAGAAAGCACATCTCTTCCATTTAAAGGTGGATGAGATAAGGTCAATTCTTCCAAAATAAAATCTTTATTACAGACATTTCCAATCTCTGGTTTTTTTTGTTTGTTGGTTTTTTTTTTTTTTTTTTTAGTTCACAAGCAAATGTTAGGAGAACTCCTCTCAGGATGTCTTCCAAGATGTTATCTAGCATCTGTATGGTAATTTCATTAAAACCACCCTGGAGATAAGGTACAATTGGGTATAATCCAAATCAAGGGAATGGCAGGGCCAAAACTAAACTCGGGAGTCATTTCACTGAACGCTGTAATAACTAATCTCAACCACTCTGTACTACTATTTTCCTTATTCCTTCCACATCATTTTCTATGAATTTTGGGGAAATGAAAAATAATGAGGATAATGATCTTAGAAAAATAATTAGGATAATGATCCTAGGTCCCATGCATGTCAGTCTAAGAATCTTAACTTGATACTTGATTTTTTTTTTAAGGGGGAAGATAACAAATATTAGGTAGTCATATGGGCCCACCCATACCACTAGTTTGGCTGTATGACTTTTGGTAAGGTGAATAACCTCTCAAGTTACAGTGATTGACCTATTTTGTGCAAGAACCATGTGCACAGTTACTCAGCAGTCACTGAAAGTTCTCTTCAGAATTTACAGGAATCTGATTTACAAAGAATAAGAAAATGTTAAATATGACTCACATACATTTACAGAGAACTGCATCTGGATGACTCCTCCATGAAAATTTGAGGGACTAGTAATAGGAGAATGAGTTAAGGTGCCAGCTGCCATCTTTGCTGGGATAAAGAGAAGTGTGTGGGTAGCATAAAGAAGGTGGCTTCTGCTATCTAGCTTACAAGAGAAGGTAGAAAGCAGTCACAAAAACTTGCTTTCAACAATCTAGTCTTTTTCAACTCTCTGACTTCCTTTTCCATGGGCCAATATGATTCAGTGAGTCCAGAATATGAATATGTGTGTGTGTACACACATATACCTAAGAGACAGAAAAATCTATGGTGATCAATGGAATAAGAGGAGAAAAGATAAGAGAAGCAGCAAGTAGAAGTTGCTATTATTATTTTACTCTGGTGGCTGTGGTAAGGGTAGAAAGGATAAAGGTAGTATTAAAATCAGCAAGTACAGCGATGAACATCACAAAGAGTAGCCTCAGAAAAACACTTCTTTCTCCAGTAGGTTATATGGATTCTTGAGAAAAAATTCCTTAAAACAGGTTTAAGTTTCAGCATAGCCACCTTATGGAAACAGGGAGTGATGCTGCCCAATTATAAGCATTTGCCACATATTAACATGAACAAGTTCTCTGAAGCCTCATTTATAGGTTTCCTTGGATATATACCTTCCTATACAGGGATGTATCTCCAAATAAAGCTAAGGTAATTGTAAGTGGATTTGATCACACAATTAACTATAAACCACAATATATACAATCAGACACTCAATTCATTTGCTGCAGCTGCCAAGTCTCCAGAAAAATTTTGCTGCAGGCTGTGCTTTTATGCTGTAAGTTTGAAATGTTCTACAACAGTAAAAGGTATTCTTTTACTCATAAGATACTGTTTCTTGACATTCTAAGAAAGCACTAATGAAAAGGCAGCCATAACAATGTGGTAACATGCTGAGAAAAACTGAATAGGAAGTAAATCAGAGTTTATTTTTTCCTCTTAAAACTTTTTAGGGTATTTTTTCCCACTTTCAATTAATATATTGATGTTACTTCTGTCTGATAATCTATATTATCACTTGAAAACTTTCACACAGGTATAATATCACAACTACTTCAATACTGTAGTGATAATAAAACTTGAGAACTAAAGAACACAAATTTCTTCACAAATTTATTTTATAAAATGTACCCACTTAATTTGTCTTCTTATTACTTTCATAATACGTAAGAAGCACAGTGGATGAGAGAGGCCCTTTAAGATGACTATAGTCACATTTAGGGGTCCTAGAAATCAAGGTAGCATACATACCACAATAGTTTTCTAAAGGCTAGCCCAGAAAAAAACCCACATTACCTAATCACAATATGGAAAGCACTGAGTTCTTTTTCCCATTAAGATATAATTTGTTTTTTTAAGCCACTGCTTTATTTAGCATTACAGTAAATAATAGTTCTGTGTCAACTACTACAAGAATGAAAAAAAAAACTCTGACAGACATCATTTTCCCACTTCCAATGATTTGAAAGCTACTTATTTTCCCCTGCCAATTTTAAAATATAAGGTTGATTTGCACTAAAACAATCAAGGCACAAGCTCAACAAATTAGCTGCAGCTTGTAGTAAAATGATATACCAGTATGTATCTCCTTAAAAATACATAATTCTTTTATTTTATTATGCAACAAAAGAAATTAACATCACAGACATAGAAGACTACGAATGGGAAACTACATTAAATATCCAGTAATTTAAGCCTATTTGTACTTTCCTATAGCACATGAAATATTTAACACTTTTTGAAGTAAAATTTAATTTGGGGGATATACAATGTAATTCTCAGGAGTAATAGTTCCATTCATTTGCAGGCCTGCTTACTGTGTGACTAAGTAACACAAGGCACAGTAGCCATCCTTTCTGTTATGCTGCAACACTGATCGTGTGTCTTGGAAAATAGCTGATTAAACAAGATGATGGCAACAGAAGGGGAGACTTTGGATTGTCTATTAAAATCTAGGTAATAATAAAGATTCATTTTAAGTGCACTTTTACATGCTTGTTTATACAACAAACTTTCTAATTTTGTTGCAGTAGGCTTGACTACCCTATCATTTGGCCAAATGCACTTTCCCCAGTAAACTTAAAACAACAACAAAAACAAAAACAAAAAATCCCTGTCCTTTCATATACTAAGAGGATTGGCTACTGAAACAGTTCATTGCAAGACACATGAAGACAACATACTGTGGCATGAGTTGTTTTAATTTGTTGTGCTGTTACTAAAGAAAAGTTCTGAGGGCTGTGATTAAAACATTCCAAGTTCTCCCTTCCATCTTTATTGGTTCTCAAAATTTTGCACAGAAAACTCTTTGGGGGCTAGAACAGCAGTACTTGCACCACACTGTTTCCAAGACTTCAAGTTTCAAAAGAAAATTGATAGGAGAAAAAAAAAAAAGAAAAGAAAAAAAAGGAGGTCCTGATTTGAATTAGATACAGGGACAAAAAAAAAAAAAAAAACCCACCACCAACAACAAAACCAAAAAACCACATACTTGAAGATTACATGGTCTACAAATGGTGGCAATGTTTTCCTTGCGAGAGTAGTTTTGTTGGTATATATATTTTAAATACTCAAAAAGGCTCAACCTCAAGCAGTAATAAACACAAGCAAAAGTGATTTAACCCTTAAAATAAATATTCAGAAAAACCTCTCTGTACATACAAGTGAAAGAATATGTAACACTTTCACACAAAAAAATAATTATAATAATAATAAAGGATTTGTTCATATATGTAGCTGAAATCTGCTGTTCCAGCCCACAATGTCCCCAATGAAGAAGGGAGGCACAGACATAGATGACTACTGTGGTTCATTATCTTACAGCCTTTTTGTACTGGGACACTATCACCACCAAATTATCCCTCTTACTATATTTATTAAGTTTTTTTAACGTTTTTCTTTTTTTTTCTCTTGTTTTTGTTTTTGTTTTCGTTTTGTTTACAGCATGCCAAATCCTTTGGCATATGTGATGGCCTTCAACAATCTCTCTTTAAGTTTTTCTTTGTTTGAATATTCCGGAAGTAAAAGGACATTAAAGCAAGTATGAGATGTAGGTAACCTAAATAGAGAGAAAGAGAAAAACAGGAAAATCGTTAAGTCAGAAAAAATATGCTCAGTGTGAAATGTTCCTATTAGATGCTTATCTAGTTAAGATAGTTTGGAATGAGAAACTACAGATTAAAATATATCATAAACATTGTACTGTTCATCTACAAACATCAGTTGGTCTTTATCTTATGAAATAATGCTAATATGATGGTGATAGTGATGATAGCAACATTTTGCATTTATTAAGTTTATACTCTATTGTTTTAGATACTTAAACCTTCGTAGTTCGTTTAAATCTTCAGACAACAAACATACCAAGATATTACTAAACCCACTTAAAAGCTGAAGTCATTAAATAACTTACTCTCAAGTTGAAAAATAATTCAAACGTAGTATTAAAGATTTCAGAGTCTGTGCTCTTTTAATACTGATTAGAAATGCAGTTGGCAAAATGACAATGAAAATGAGTGGATGGAAAATATAAATTAATTAAAATTAGAGCCATAATGTATCAAATAATGGAGAATAGACAATAATGAAAATATATGTTGATGTATAGCAAAGTCAACATACTTCTAAGGATATATCGTCCAGTCCCACCATAAATTAGTAAGTATTTAATGGGGAAAGGATACAATTAAATGTCAAAATTATGTAACTCAGGATTCTAGAATAAGCTTTAAAGAACTAAGAATCCTCTAAATTTCAGTGTAAGCATTCTAAATAGACTGTTACATAAAAACGGCTTTCTTAACAAACTGTAAAACAAAGGAGAGGATAAATCATACCAATTTGACATACTCTGAACTCATGTAGCTCCACAATTACTTTTTAAGTATGTCAACTTTACAATTGAGTAATAAAGGCAAAATATTCCCTCCACTGATTTTTTTGTTGACTTGGCAATTTCTATATAATAGCAGAAGAGAACACAGAGGCAACACAAATGTTGCCTCTGCTCACATGTGTGAGGTGAAAGGTTTACAGTAGGTATGGAGCTGTACTTCAATAATTACCTTTCTGTGTCTGGGCCATTTTTGGCTATAATCATCTTCAATTTTCCCAGCCCTCCAACAGGTGCTCTGTCTGTGCCCGTTGTAAACTGTAAGAAGAGTCTTTTCTGTTCATCTGTAAATGAATGAACAACTTCCCAGAACTCCCTAATGAAAAAAGATACAACACTAGTTTTAATTTGACATTATTACAAACACAAGCTCATTGTTACTACAACATCATTAAGGACAATTTTGCAGTTAACATTAGGGATACCAATATCATCCGGAATATATTTTATTTACCATTCTTCCATTACTCTCCTGTTTATTCATTCCATACTCAAAATTGTGAAGGCAAGGTGGTAACAGATTTAGATTATAAGAAAAACATGAAGTAAAAAAAAAAAAATCAGACTTAATAGCAAGAATACAAACGTACTTTTCATGTAGTGTTTTTGAGCAAGAGTTACAATGGTATTTATCCCACATGTAGTAACTATAAGATATATCTGGCTGACTAAAACCTATAAACTAAATTTAATAACGCAATAATCTTTATGTTACTCTAAGTTCAAAAAACAACACACAAGCTCATAATGAACAATTTTGATTTGCTTCAATTAGCTATCTGTAAAATGAGTATGTTTGAATTAGCTATCCATAAAGTGCATATAGCAATAATTCACAGCTAAGAAAATAAAGATTTCAGAAAAAATTCAAAAGTATTTTTAATTGGCAATAGAGTATATTTTATGTTTTATATTTAAAGTTCTTTCCAAAATAATCTTAGAAGAGGGCTAAATAGATTGCTCAGTGGTTAATAGCACTTGTGGTTTAATCTGTCAACTCCTTCATGCTATATTCTGTCACCTCTACTAGCTCCATGACATGTACACCCATCACACACTCAGTCTCTCTCTCTCTCTCTCTCTCTCTCTCTCTCTCTCACACACACACACACACACACACACACACACACACACACACACACACACACAAATGTAAGAAAAAATTTAATCTCAAAAGAGACATTATGCTTTTCAAGCTTTTGAGATTCTATCCTTTGACATTCTGGTATACTAGTTTTATTACCCAAATGTTGGTATTTTTAGTGCTGTAAACCATTATTCTGACATTAATCACATTATTTCCAAAATTTCAATATCCAAAAGCTTTATCAGATTTCCTGGCTTTCTTCAATCTCTTGTCACGATTCCTGTAAAACTGATACACACCTAGAGAAAATAACAATGGTACATACATTCAACAGGAAACTGGACTAGGAATTTGTGCAAGAATCCCCCATTTAGAAGGAAAAGCTCATACTTCCATTTGTAGACGTCGTTTTTGGGGGTTGGCAGGAGAAAAGTAGTCTATTGCAGCGACAAGACTCCTGTTAGGACACAAAAGCTACACAGGAGCCATTGGCAGCTAATGGCTGTTGGAGAAGGGAAAATCAGATTTTCTTTGGGAGTGTGTCCATGGACAAGTTGACCATGTTCCAGTGCACAGGTTCACAGGCATGCATATTTGGGTCACTCTACTTCTGACTCAGGGGGTTACTTTTCAAAAAGAAGGCCTAAGTTGGGAAGGGGCTTGGGGAGTGCAGTGAATCTAGTAGGATTTGGAAAAGGGCGTATGGGGTAATATGATCAAAATACACTACATACATATTTGAAATTTTCAAAGAATAAATTATTTTAAAGCTATATTGCAAGAGGCGTGGTTAAAATAAAAGCCTTCTCACACTCAAGGCTCTGATACTTGACCTAATCCATCATCTAAGGAGGCAGATATTCAGGCATCACTGCAGGTCACAGAGGAAGCAGATAAATCATGGTCACAGTGACCAGGTCTGGCTATGTTCCATTTCTGTAGTTGTTTTTAAAATAACAAAAATACTCAGAGGTCCATAAAATCTACTTAATGAAAACAAAGCTGAAAGAGATCTCCTCTTCATGTTATACCCTACTAAAATCTTTTAATTAAAAACATGTATGTATTTAGAAAGCTCAAAAGAAAGTATCAAATAGATCATATCCTATTCACATTCTCCAAAATCTATTCAGATCAAAGAGAGAGAGACAGAGACAGAGAGAGACAGAGAGAAAGTGTAATAAAAATCTATGCCAAGAATAAAACTAGGACATCAAGTCATAAATCTCCAAAGACAGAAGATAAACAGAGTTAGGACCATACTAGGACCAAACAAAATGGCAGGCATAGGAAGTTGTAAAGAAAGGAGTGGCAAAGTTTTTCAAAAGGGATAGATATGCCTGATGAAAGGGATTCGAACTAAAATAAGATATAGTTAAAAACCTAGAGAGCACTGGATCATGTAAAGCAGAACCAAATGTTAATGAAACATTGTACAGCAGTAAAAGGGACACCCTTCAACAGAGAAACCACTTAAAGTGACTCTAGAATACTTTGCTCCCCCATGACATTTATTAACAGCAGGTCCAGGCAAAAATATATAAAAAAAAGTAAATGAGAAAAAAATGTAATTTTAAATACAAATATTATGAGGAATCCTGCAAATAAGAAACAAAGCTTTCTGGCATAGGAAAGTACATAAGAAAGACTGAATCATGAATAATTTAAACTTTAACATGAAAAGTTCAGCCACTAAGAATGTCATGGATCAAAAATAAAGAGATGAATAAATTCAAATGGAAATGAAAATACTAGAAAATTCTGAAGCACTACGCATAGGAACTCTGGAAATAATAGATGATTCATGAATGAAGTGAGCAAAGGAGAAAAAAGAAGTCATTTCTATTTGACAATCATCCAGTATTTGTATCTGACATCAGTCTAAAAACAAAAGGCAAGATGGGGGTAGGTAAGGAAGGGGGAGAAAGAGAAAGGAGATAAAATAATTGAAACTAAAGAAATGCATATCAAAGTAGAATAGAAAAAAATTGTTAAGTACATTGACAAAACCTTTCACTTAGTGAAAACCCTAATAAATAAAGATAAATGGCAATGTAGAGGAAATACTGTAAATTTTTCTATCATAAGGACCAATGTCTTTAATGTGCAAAAAGGATATGTAAAAAAAGGATAAGGGAAAGGATATGTAAAAGATATTCCTATAATTAATTCAGCACTTATGAGGTGGAGGCAAAAGTTAGGCCTAGGCAAGATCTTGTCAAAACAAACAAACAAAAAGGAAAAAGATCAATAACTGAACAGTAATATTAAAAATATTAATATTAAAAATACAGATAGTTAATACAGTGTCCATGTATTAAAGAAAGAAAAAAAAAAAAACATGTCCATGAAGATTTAAAAACCTACAATGCATCAATACTTTGTGGCAGTAGTAGGCAAGCAAAAATGTTGCAGAAGTAACTTCTACATTAATGAGGGATTGCTTCTGAGATATACTAAAAGGAGATTATTTCTAGGTTTGTTCCTTGACAAGTCCTACCAGCAATAACATTCAATAGTAAATCATATTCCTAAATGCAATTCTCTAATCATTTCTTTTGACAATGTTTTATTCCAGGGTAGAGGATAGTAATGTTCAAGATAAGCCAAAATTTCAAACTTTAATGGAGTCATGTGTCATGTTAAAAATACAATCCTAAAACACATACACTACATTAAAAAAAATCCATGAATTCATAGTATTTGAACACAAAAATAAACTCGCCTAACATTATTTAAATTACCATATTATCTCATTTTCTCAAACGTAAATACATTTGACTTTACCTTTTCAACAAACTCCTTTCTTAAGGCAATAAAATAGAACTTGCTGATACGAAAAAAAGATAGGAAAATAGGAGAATGACGATGTAAAATGATCAGATAAAAGGAAACTGTTTCCTTAAATCGACATTTTTGAAATCTCAGGCTAAATGGTGAAATAATGGATTAAGGAAAGACAGACAAAAATAAGATACATACAAGGCAAAGAACTATCAATCACAGCTATTTTGCTTTAGCTCTACAATCTCTGTCAACAGAACAAATTTAATTAGGAAAATCAGACACCTACATTAATGTTTTGTTTATCTCAGTCTACTGCAAATAAGACAGAAGGAAAATGAGGAAGGAGTTAGGGGGCAGTGAATCAGCCAAGTAGTGTTGTTATGGTTCCTGCCCTGACACCCTTCAATGACGGATTGTGAACTGGATGGGTACAAAAATATACAAGGCTTCATAAGCCCAAACCACATATAGCAAATATGAATATTTCACTTAAAAGAAATGTTTGCTTCTCATAATAAGACACATTTTCTAAAGTCAAAAAGGCAGTCTTCAAGGTGACAGGGGGGTTTAAAGATAAATTTGCTGAAATGTAGAAACGAAGACAGAAAGAATTAAAGGAATGAACATGCAGAAGAGAGGAGGATGTGTTTTCATAAAAAGAAAAAGGGGGCCGAGCAGTGGTGGCGCACACCTTTAATCCCAGCACTCGGGAGGCAGAGGCAGGCGGATCTCTCTGTGAGTTCGAGGCCAGCCTGGGCTACAGAGGAAGTTCCAGGAAAGGCGCAAAGCTACACAGAGAAACCCTGTCTCGAAAAAAAAAATAAATAAAAAAATAAAAGAAAAAGGGAAGGTGAATTAGTAAATAGCTGAGCAAATTAAGAACATAATACAGGAACTAAAACCGTCATCAGAGGAAGGAGATGATTCATTCACTGCTTTTAACAGTTGTACCTGTCAAATCATACATCTAGAAAAGGCAATTTTGGAGATCTAAAGACAGAATTAAGAAAAGAACTGAAGAACTGGGGCAACAAAGACAGAAAAATTGAAAGATGCAAGAAGAAGAAGAAACATGACATTTAAAGTGAAGAATGCTTTTGAACAGGCTAAGAGGAAAATTGTAGATGTGAGGGAAAAAACCAAAGACACACACACACACACACACACACACACACACACACACACACACACACACACACGTAAAGAACATAGCCCTGAAAAACTCAAAACTCAGTTTTGACAAAGCAGAAAGGCAAAGAAGAAAAGACAAAAAAGAAAACAGATGAGACTGAAAGGAGACTGAAGAAGGAAAAAACTCATCTACTGAATCAAGGAGAAGTAAGGTATTGGATGATTCCAGAGATGTTTAAAACAATATCGTATACTAAGACAGCTGGAAATTAATTTTTAAGGAAACTAAAGCCAAAAATGGAAGAAGAATG